AACAGTCCAATGACATAGATTCTCAATTTCGATTCTTCATGCAATTCCCATTAAAATTGCATTACTCCAACAGGAAGTCCATTTGGCATACTCAGGAGGCATAAACCAATGAAGAACCTCTCCTAATAAAAGTGAAGCCCCATGAACCACTATAGCGTAACCCAGAAGATCGGAATTGGATAATTAAACAAAGGCAGTGGGAGATATATAAATTAAGGAAAACAATTATAATCTTCAATGAGTACTTTCTGGTTTAGCTGATGCAGCACAAGAGCCATAAACATCTTCAGGGATATATCATAGGCAGCTCACATAAAGAAAAATCCACCATATCCATTCCAATGAAAAAAATCTGATCCGGATGATATTTTTGACTAGCCACTTCAGTGACCATGCAAGTTCGAAGAAATTTTTATATCTCGCATTATTGGAATCATTCAACTCATCTATTATAAATATCCATTGGTAGAGGCGTGGTGTCTCATGTGACGACTTGTGCAGAACCAATTAAATATCGAAGATAGACCAACAACATACGCAAACCACAGAGCATAAATGAGGGAAATTGTGTTCGTATAGCTATTCATACACAGCAGAAAGAATAGTTTCTTTTTTTATAAGATAGCAGACATATATACTCTACCATAAGGAGCGTTCGGGAAATATTACGTATAACTAAGACATAAAACATACACATTACAAAAATGGCATACAACAAGAATCATGAACAGAAAGAAGAAAGAGTACGGAAGCCAGACACTGATAGGATAAAAAATGCTGTAAATTAAGTCTCAGCATTGACTATATCAAGAAGACCATAATGGAAGAAAGAAACACCACTGTTTAGCGTTGAATGTAAGAATAGTCAGCAACAAATATCCAAAACCAATCCCAACAAGATTGGGAGATCGAGAAAAGAATCACATACAACAACAATTGGCAGACACATATGTACTTTAGCGACTACAAACTTCCATTTCATCGACCCTAAGCCCCACATAAAGAACATATCACAAAAATTAGAGATATAAAGGGTAAATTACCGGAAGAAGCACCAGCAAATCGCCTGAGTTCAGCGTTCCCGTGAGCGAACGAGCAACTTGGGCGAGAACAGTGTCCTTTCTGATAAAGAACGCATAACTTTGTTTTGAAGAGTTTGCGCCCAATCATCATGGATGAACATAAACAATAACGGAGAAGAAGTATATTTTCGAAGTCGCAGTAATCGCCGTTTGTTTTTGCAGACAAATTAGACAGAATAAATGTAGAACCGAATTGGAGAGTAGTTGCGACAATAGAATCCGCTTCTAAAGATTGCCAATAATCAGAAAATATGCAAAAATAGTACAATAGAACAGATTCGACGGCTCGTAAATTTCTAGAGTTGAACTTTGTGAGCTATCCGAAGCAAAACGCCGACCGCTTGGATGAACACCGTGATGAGGGGTTTTATTTTCTCCTCTATTTTGCTGCTTCTTTTTTTGCTTCCGCCCAAAGCAATGGCGGGCTTTTAATTGTAACAATTTTCCTTTTTTTTTTTTTTTTTTTTTTTT